CTGAATGGGCAGACGCAGAGACATCCTCAATTTTAGTCCCTCGTCTGGTTCAAGCAGTGTACATTTCCCATAATGCTCAAACTCAATGGTGTCTTTTCATTATTCATCATTATTTCATATTTTTTTACTTTGCTGAGCTCCCTCCAGAGTAACAGACATTATACTGCTGTTTTCACAGGCTAGGGAGTACTGCTTGTGACGAGTCAACTGAACTTCACATGTGAGGTTACTCCTTTAACCTACCAGAGCTGTGGACACACCTGCACCTTAAGTTTAGAGGGTGCAGGTTTGATTTCATCACACATAATAAAAAAATATGTGAAATGGGAAACACAATGTTACAGTGTAACTCCAGTAGAAATGAATCAGTGGGTGACTGTTAGGCAACATAGACATGTCAGTTCGGACCTAATAACACTACTAATGTCTGAAACCATGAGTCAGTCAGAGCGCTGCTTTGAAGACTGATTTATAGTGATAGCGCTGGGAAGTAAGTTAGTTCCCTTCTAGTATTCCACTATCATAGGAACTTCGAGAACAGGAAGAGGAAATTATAAACCTGCAATCAAGACTGCCAATGTGAGAGAGCAAATAAGTCAGGAACGTTAGTGGAAACCCTGCATGCGTCTGTCTGTCTGTGTGTGCTCTGTCTATCCTAGTGGGCCTTGATACAATAGCCAATTAATCGCCACCTGTTGCCAGTCTAGCAGGACCTGAATATTTCATTAGAACAGATCAGAGTGAAAGAGGAGCCTTCCAGGTATGAGCTGGCTGGTGCGATGAAAAAGATATACATTTTCCTGCACTCATACACAGAAACACTGCACCGTTCACAAGTTCTGGCCACAATGTCTCATGAAAAAGGGTCAATTTATCTTATTTTAGGAGAAGCACATTTTGATGCATGGACTGATCATCCTAAGCATAATAATTTGACATGGGCGAGCCTTTGAATGTACTTTGCACCATGGTCAGATGACATGCATGCTACTGAATGTTGTTCTAGCAATGATGTGCATATGACAGTCATAAAACTGCCTGACTTACAAAAATGTAGAAGGGTCACTCTTCCTTTCAATCAAATTAGTGATATCTGGCTATGTAAATAAAATTCAAGGTTCCTGAGCCCTGATGTTCAAAACTCTGTTCAAACATTTGCCAATTCTACACGGCTTTACTATTAAACTCACGGGCATGCCTTATGAAATGTAAATTATTATATCTTCTGAACAATTGAAGGCAATTCTCCATTTCGGCATATATAAATACCTGAAAAACAAATTAATTCAATGGACATGAAACTTTGAATGTTGTGTCGCCGCCCCCACAGCCTCCCTCTCCCTACCAATTTACAGTGTAAAGTCAGCAAGTTATTAAACCTAGTTCGGTAGCAAGCAGCGGCAACCAAACCTAAACGTTTAGTGGAGCTACACCGCTGGTTCAAATACAGCTCAACCTATCTGTGCCGAAATTACTCTAGTTGTCATAATAATCCACCTAGTAAGTAGTTATGTACTTTTGCTAACACAACCAAATAAACTTTAAATTCATATCAATGTTTATAGAGTTCTGGCAGTCCAAACCACTCAACCAAGCTAAGTGCTGAGACTCAGAGACACAGCAAATGTGCAAAACACCGCAGTTTAGCTAGCTTATTTTGAAAGTCTTATCTCGGCTTCTTTTCCGATACAATGGTTAATAATTTAAGAAAAGTTTTATCGACCAGCGCAGCGATAGTGCCAGCTTTCTCTTCTGACAAAAGTAAAGATACTCACTATTCTTTAATCAGCATGTTGACTGTGCCTCCGTCCAAACAGCAGTTATATGAGAGTGGGAACTCCTGAAAATCCTCTTTATAGCTGACTGCAGCCGTTCATTCACCGCTCGACGGTTTCCACTCCGGGCTTTCTTCCTGGATGATGCCGTGAGAGTGTGAAGGGGCGCGGCGTCGAGAGAGGAGGAGACACCCACCTTTAGTTTCAGGTAACTTCGTGTTGCGTTCACGTGCAGCCGGTAGATATTATCAAGTCTCATCAGTATGAACTTTATGTCGGGATTATGACTCTATGTGAGTGTCAGTACCCATACACCATACCCATACATTTTAATCACTATCCTGTACGCTCATATTCTCTTGTATTTATTATACTACTGCTATTATAGCTGCTATAATAATAATAATATTCATGATCATCAAACGCATGGTGATTCGACTTTAAGCACCAACATGTACCTGCTGGGTGTACAGCATTTTTAAGATCACCTGACTCATTATATACTGCCATATCCTCCTACCTCATGTGGGTAAAAATCTACACGTTATTGTTGTTGTTTATGTTTGTTATTTTTGTGTTTCTTTATGCTATTTTGTGTGTGTAAATTGGGAGCAATGTCAAACCAGAGTCAAATTATTTGTATGTGTTTACATACCTGCCCAGTAAAAGTGATTCTGATGCACAAAGATCCTCCTGAGGCTGGCAGAAGTTATTGTATGTGGCATCAAACTGATGGAGACAACAAGATTACCCACACTTTCGGTTACCACTGAATATTTACAGCTCAATGAGCATCAGTAGGTGCACATCTGGGTGGAGTAGGCTACTGAACAGTGTGTGTGTGTGTGTGTGTGTGTGTGTGAACGCCACAGTGTGGTCAAACCAGTATGGGCAGAAAATGTCAGCTCTGGTTCAACCTGTCTATGAGTCAACTGAGACAGTTTGAGACCACTCAGGATGTTCCTCTGTGATTTAAACAAAGCTGAGGAAACTGTGTTTGCTGTCGCCCAACAGGTTTGCCTACAAAGCTGTTTTATGTATCACTTCTCTTGTACTTGTCCCCACATATCACGAGTGTCAGCGTTCCAGTGAGAGTCTGACCCCTGCTGCTCTGGAAAAGTATTACGAGATCACAGAAGTGTGAAATAATAGAGACATATATAAAAATTATTGTGTTTATTTTGCTTCATATATTGATCTGTCTTTTTTCTTTCAGTTGACATGACTTAAAATGTCAATGACAATGGCTATACTGCGGTACAAGACAAAAGAGAACCAAATATACAATATAAGACCATGAAAATACACATTCTCGTAAACATCAGTGGGGAAAAAAAGCTTAATCGAAGACAACAAAACTAAACTGGAGCATGGTAGGTAGAAAAAATACAAAAGGTACATGCCAGGGGAGAGAAACAAGGTGTCTGTGTTCCAGCTGAAATCCCCACTTCCTGTCATAAAAACACACTAGGATTCATCTTCTGAGCAAACAATCCATCAGTACATCAATCAATAAACCAAACTACTGTAGAATCCCTATCCTAGGAGGTTGGGGTGAGAGCGGGGAGGTGATGGCATGGAGGACAGTCGTTTAAGGTACGGCAGTGAAGGAAAGTGCTGATTAGTTTCCCATTCTGAGGGAATGAGGAGTTCACCTGGTAACTCATCACTCATACACTCCACTATCACATCTTCAATTCACAGACTGAAGGAAAACAGTCTGCGAGTGGGCTGATTTCATATTCAGCCCCAGAGTGAGTTCAGGATGGGTTACCAGGCAAATGAAAAATCAATGTCCATCATCACCCACATTCATAGAGCTGAAGTACTGCGTCAGAGTGTATCTGTACCTGCAGCCTGTCAGAACATCACGTCAAACCACAGGAAGAGTTACACAGCAGCATGCTACGAGATACACTCTATGGAGTTAAATTAGTTACACGTGTTTTTTTAGAAAGGCAAATGTGAATATGGTTTTGTGAAGTGAAAAGAAACAGTGAACTTGTGATTAAAGATTTCTACATCGCAAATACATTTGCACATTTCTATGCACAAATTGTTATTGTTGCATCTCTTAAGTACAAAACTGGCATTGTATAGGAGAATTCCCCCCACGCAGCTTTTAAAGAATAACAGTGCACAATCTGTGTGGGCTTTGTATCTGCAACGTACTAATAAAGATAATAAAGACATCCAGCTCTGCCCCAGGCAGACCTTACTAACCCTGTTCCTACCCGGACCCAGACAACCCAGACCTGGTAGAAGTGGTGAAAATTGGATGTATGGACTGATATCTGTTTTTGTTACACACGATTTGCACTTCAGAGATACAGTAATGTGAATGCTTAGATAAAGAAATGCAATAGAATGTAATGAGTTCCTGCACACTAACTATCTCTTTAAGTTGATTTAAAATCCAAAGTTTTGGTCATAGACTTTGATGTCTAACAAATAACCAAAAACTGTCAAGTTTTAAGTAAATGAGTGCTGGCATCGTGTGGGGACTTATTACTTTCTTCTGCATGATTTAATTTTCCTACACAGATGTCTGCCAGGTGTGTATTAGATAACATTTAATTGGAGCTTTCTATGCAATCGTTTTAATTACAAATGTACACTTCACTACACTTCTTCACATTTCTTCACATTTGTCATCTAACGAAACACAGTTAAATCATTTCTGCACCAATTTTACTCCATAAAATTCTCCTTTACAGAAACCCTGCAGTTTAGTGAGGATGTACATGCCTACAGTTATGTCCAACGCTTATGAAAGAGCTGAGAGACAGCCTCCGCCACACTGTCCATGCAAATAAAGGCGATATATTGAACATATGAAGCGATAATTTTTCTTTCTGTGAGTATAAAAAATAACAGCATCTTTCCGTTCCCATGTTCTGAATTAAAAATCTACATCTGAAGCTCTGAGTATACATTCTCTGCATTATGCACCACCAGCGAGCAGCCATGCACTGCGTGTACGATACAGTGTGAGCAGGCAAATGCATGACTGAGGTCCATTTCTAGAGGTTCTAAAGTGCATCGTGTGCCATTCATTTCTCACTAAGTCATTCACTGGGAGCATCTGATGGCAGCGGAGGCTTGTCTCTCAGCTCTGTCACCTGGCATTGGTAAACATTTCAGGACCTGTTTGCGGACGGATGGATGGATGAAAGTGATAGGTGGATGGGTAGATAGGGGGAGAGAGAGGGACTGGGTGCGCCACATCCTGCCTGGATCCACTCCTCCCATCATCTGTACACATAGAGAGGCACTCTGAGGGTCATGGCTGTCTTTGGAAGTGCCTCTGTGAGTTACTGCCAGGCAGGAAATATCTGAGGAGCTTTTCTGTATGGCATCTGAAGACAGCAGGCCAAATCAAACAGCAGTTATCACCTGCATCACTCTCTACACGCTCTGCTTCTGCTATGACTCTTCATTGTCTGTGTTCAGTCTCATCACTTTTTCTCAGAACCTGGAGGAATGCGTCCTCATCAGCCTGCTGCCTTCAAGCAAATCTCCCTTTATGTCTGTAAGAGGTGAATTCAAGTTTCCCAGAGATGCTGCTGTTGTTGCACTTTGTGTTACAGTGCAGAATTACCACAAAATGGATAAGAAACCACAAGCAAAGTCGCCAGTAGAAATGGTAACCTGACTGGGTCTTTGGAATCCACTGTGTCAATAGAGAAACAGCTATTGTGAGTAATTTAATAGAAGAAAAAAAGAAAAAATGCACAAAAAAAAAAGTTTTTGTAATTCAACTAGCACCTTTTTGTTTTAGAAATACAGTCCATAAAATGTATATGTTTGCCTGTCTGCATGTGATTGTGTGTCAACAGGATGCCCAGCACCTCACAGAAGCACTTATTGCTACAACGAAACCGAGACTGTGTGCAGTGAGTAGAGCAACATAGAGGCTCCACCTCTGCGCCACTCCCACCTTTAAAAAAACACACCATATCTTTGTCCCGCTTACCTACTCTAAAAACATCTTCTCCTCCACGTCGTCAGATCATGTATAGGGAACAAAGATTCAACAACACATCTGCGATCATATTGCAAGTAAATACATTTGATGAACAACAGATTATTATATATTCCAAACACACAAAAGAAATTCATGAGCACACAATAAACAGACCGACATGGCAAGTTGAGTGTGTCTTCCTGCACTAGTGAGTGACACAGCAATGTAGGACCATCAGGCATCATGCAGTGTAGTTTCATCTAGCCAGCTTTTTTCACACTGCATTATCTAACACACACACACAGAGATGCTGCAGTGTTTTCTGTGCTGATTAAAAAGCCACCGTAATTCATACTATGTGTTTCAATCTGAACTGCTACCAATACTGCTGTCTGTGGACTCTTATTCGGTTAATGCCCTCAACATCAAGAGGAAGCAGAGATGCCACGACCAAGGGTGCCACTTTTTTGACTTTTTCTCATGTGGAAGTCCTCAAAACAAGACAAACCTGGGCTAATCAGAGAGCAAAGGTTGTCATGGTTACCACTGTACGCACTCACTACACAGCAGTTGGTTTGTGCTAGGTGACTTTAAAAAGCACAATACTGTCACTGAGGTTTTTTTTTTTTTTTTTTTTTTTTTTTTTTTTACAGTTGTCTCCTCCACAATCTCCTTAGTGGATTTCCATTGGCTGGCATCATCTTCTTCTTCTATTTTTTCCAAGTAGGACTGGCCGAAGCTAAACCAGTCAGTAACGTGTGTAAAAATGAACAAGAGTGAAGAAAAGATGTGTAGAGGAGTCATTTGGGTAGACACAAAAAGTCTTCTTTCTCCCATCAGTCTGTTTTCTCCTCAGTTCAGAGATGCAGTTGAGGGAGAGGGAGCTCTCCATAGGGCGTATGTGTGTGGCTGTGCTGTGTGGTGTCAGGTTTCTCACAGTGTATAGTATCAGAGAGGGTGAAACTGGGTGTCACAGTAGTGTGCTGTCGTGTTTGACCACATCTGATTGGCAGGAAAATGGTTTGAGTAAAAGCGTGTTTGAGGGGAATGTGAGGGGATGAACTGAGAGAGTCGCTGTAGCGTCAGGGAGGACAGGGTGAAGGAATGTATCACTTTCACCGCTCTCCCCTCCCTCTCTTTTCTTTTTCTCTGTCTTTCTCTTTTTAGCGTAGCTCGTCATCTCCTCGATTTTTAAAAAGATCATCCTTCTCTCTGTTTTTCCTCCCGGTCTAGACAAAGGCCTCGGGCTTGCTGCCATTGTTGATCTTGACGTAGATCTTTGGGTCCTCATCGCGCTCGTCTCTGAGGCGCTGGAGGTGGCGGCTGTGGCACAGCAGGTACAAAGGCAGGCAGAATCCCAGCAAGCTCACTCCCAAAAGGCCCACGTTTACCTGAAGACGACATAAGGGTCAGACCAACGTAATGTGTAATGTGTTGTTTAAATATTTCCTACAGTGTCCATATATTTGTGTCATCTTACCCATAGAGGGTCTCCCTCCAGGGGTCCAACCATGGCCATGAAGAGAGGCTGTTGGAGCAGGGCGAATAGGGCGCTGATCAGAGACTGCATGCCTGTCAGGCTTCCAAACTGAGAGGACGGGTACCTGCACGGGACAAACAGCAAGTCTTAAACAGGTTTCTAGGTGGTACTCTGGGTTTGATAAGGTTCAATTCAAACTGAAGCCAATCCAATTCAAACTTTAAATATATTACATGGCCTTCAGTATGTGGAAACCTTTTTTGTAGGCTGTTATTCGTGGTTTGGACCAGAGCCTGAAATCTTAACGCTGGAACAAGTCATTATTTTTCAGGCAGTAATGGGCTTCCAACATTGTGGCAACAGTTTAGGGAAGGCCCCTTTTATGTATTTACTGACAAAGAACATGCTTTTTTAGCATTTCTTTGTGAAAATGTGCCATTTTCAGCTGCAGTCAATTGGCCAAATTTTCCAAGTCTATTTACATGACAATGTAAGATTGGCCATATCAACCCGCAAGCAGTCCGAGGTCATCAGGCCTGGGGCTGTTTCCATGTCAAGGTGTAAGATTAAACCGTGCCTCTGCTCTGGAACAACCTGCCTGATGAACTCAGAATCTTTAAAATCTTTATGTTTAAAAAATAGTTTAATCAATAGGCTTATTTCTAACCTTATTTAACTGGGGTAGGTGTTTATATTTATGTATGTACAGTATGCAGGTTGGTATGTCTGTAATACATATGTAACACATATGTTTGTTTGTATGAATTGACCAACATTTCTATGACTTTGTATGTGTATTTTCTTTTTTTGTCATTGTAGTCAAGTTAAGTCAATTGCATTTATATCACAAATCATAAATTAGCCTGAATTTGTCTTCAGAATCTGTACAGCATACACCCTCTATCCATAGACCCTGGATTCGGATCAGTCCTGCAATCAGGTTCCTAAATCTTGTAGAGTCCTCTCTGAGGGGTGGAAGCTGCTATAGCTGCAGATTAAAGCTTGTGTTTTTGGAAAGAGATGTTCACATATGGGTAGGGAAGCACAATCTTGGATTTTTGTCTCCATCTGATATGCCCATATTTTCCAACTGATTGTGGCCTATTGTCAATGCTGATTTTCCACCTAACTGCAGAGAACATCAACACTCTCCTGCAGTGGATTTTTTTCTTTTCAAAACGTGCACATTCACTGAGCAATTAGAAAACTACTGCAGGTGTTTCATGCTGATGCCTGTTTCTCTTTGTTCTTCACAAACTCATCGTAATGATCAGGATGACGGCTCTTAAAATGGGGAATTGAATTTGTTGTGCTGAATAATTTTTGGCTCCTTCACAGCTGCCAATCATTTCAAATAGCAACTTTGCTTTTATTTCAATTTCAAAGACTTTATCAGCCAATACTGATGACGTGTCAATATTCATCCCTACAAATGGGTGTAATGTCTGTCTTTCCACATACATACATTTTGGCCATGTAGTATATGTAGTAAATGGTATATTCTATGGTATAATGGCACTATACAGTAGGATTTTGTGTTCCATTGTGTATTGTTATGCCATTGTCTTTTGAACATGTCACACACTTACACAGCAGCATAGAGGCCTCCGACTGCAGAGTGGATGAAGCCTCTGACAATAGTGTGCAAGATAAAGGACAGAATCTGAAGAGGAGGAGAGAAGTGGGGGGATAAAGATACATTTTTCATTAAACACCAGGTCAGATCACACAGCTGACTGAGAAAATGGCTTTCATCTTTGATAAATGAGATTCAGAATGTAGTAAATAACATGCAATGACTCTTTTGTCCAGTAGGTGTCACTGAAGCACTGATAAGAATCAGGCGCTGCATTGCCATGTGAGCATTTGAACATTGTGTTCATCTCTCAGTCTCTGCAGTGTGAACTCTCTCTACTTCAGCAGCACATGCTAGGAAATGTGTACCCCAGAAAAGCTTTAAAGACATAAAATATTTCTCTGTCCGTGTGTGTGTGTGTGTGTTTGTGTACCTGGAGGGGCAGGTTAGGGACGATGCAGGTGAATCCAAAGCCAACCAAGAGTAGATTGGTGAAGATAAAGGCTCTGGTGGCGTTGACGATCTTCTGAATCTGTTTGTCGGGGGGTCGGGGCTGACCAGGCTCCCTAATGCAACAGAATAAAATAAAGTCAGCTTCTGCTTTCTATTCTTCTTTTCTTTCTTTCTGTGTGTGTGTTTCTGTGTGCACCCTCACCTCTTGGTGCTCTTGTCATTGTCATCCTCGCAGTCTTTGAGCTTCCAGTCCATGACGTAGCCAATCACAGGAGAGGTGACCAGACACAGAAGCTGCAGCACGCCAAAGATGGACGTGTAGACACTCACTGAGACACAAACGACAGTACAGACACTGTTACTGCTATGTTTTATGCTGTTTTGAGCAGTTTTGAGCATGGAATGAACAGTTAACAGTATGAAAGGTTCAGAGGGTGATGCACGCAGAAACAAGCAAACACAAAGTGTGACAGACAGGTGAGGAGAATGGCTGAAGAGTGTAGGTGGTTAGATCTTTGTAAGTGTAGCCTCAGGTCTCTTACCCACTTGCATCTTCTCCACTGCAACAGCAGCATGAAGCCAGCATGACAGAAAAAGAGAAAGAGCAAGAGAGACAAACGGAAAAGGGAAAGACAGAGCAGCGTTATCAACAAGCAACACGGCTGGTTTATCTGAGCAGGAAGCAGCTGAGAGAAAATTGTTAGGTGTCAGAGAGCAGCAAGAGAAGATACAAACAGTCTTGAGAAGCCGTGAACATCCCCTCCAACACAGTTACATTTCTGTGGTCAGATGTGTAAGGTAAAGCTGTTATCAGAACACAATCTGTGTTTTCTAGCAGCGACACGCACCTTTGCTGAGGTCTCCCTCTGTCAGGGACTCCAGGATGGTGTTCATGGCTCCCATGTAGAAGATGAGGCGCAGCTGGGTCACACACATGGTGATGAGGCTCAGCATGAAAATGGGACTGAAGATACTCTTCATGAAGGACTGAGCTGCAGAGGAAATAAAAGAAGTCGGGGTTAGATCAGATCAGTTTGCAAACACATCAAAATCAAATGGTTAAGATATTTAAGTCCGGATCAAAGCGGTGGACCGACCAACAGGCCGACAGCCATCCATACAGCCATGGACGACCCATTTTTCATTAGTACAAAATATCTATATTTCCAGGTTTGTCTGCAGATTTTTTCTGCCAGTCACAGCATCTCAACACCTATACAATCTATTTTAAGCCTCTATAGACTGCAGTTAAAGCAGCAGCCGCAGTGAAATTTCATAGATGCCAACAAGCCCAAACATGACTGTTCCTACACAAGATTTTCTGCCTCTTTTCACTTTCTAATCTCTTTTCATGCTGGAAACCTACACCAAAGTGCTTCCGGGTAAGTCTGCTGGTAAAACAGAGGAAAGAGATAGTGATCTAAATATTCCCACTGGCCTCCGGGTGCCAGGGCAACACGTCTTATCCTACTTGAGTGAAATGGGGGGATTCAAAGAAGCGTGAGTTCTTGGAGAAGTTGATCATTAATCAAAGTTGTGAATATAAATGGAAATTGGACACAACTGCCCATATGGTGAAGCACTGGACAAACCAATTAATTGTCAGTGCACAGATGGAGCAGATGGGTTTATTACCCAGAACAACAGGTATCCATCCAAGGCTTAATGAAGGGAATTGCTCGCTGCCAGCCAGGTCATGCTTGCAAGGTATTATAACGTTTTATGAGCACTTTTTCCAACACGTTCCATGTTTTATTTTGACAGAAAAATCTAAGCTCATGAACAGCACCGCCCCCCCTTCACGCAAAATGCTGTATGTGCAGTTTGACCACTAGAAGGATGTTTTCACATTCATCTGCTGGAAGTGGAAAGTTTCTCTGTGCTCATTGAACATCTGATTTTAAGGGGTGGGCCTACTAGCATGAATTGTGACATCACAAATAGTCAGGAAGTCAGTCCTGGTTCAGTATACAACTTGTACAGTGTTGATGTAAAACCTGAAGCCACCAGGGCACATCCACTGAGAATGGACTTTACAGTGAAGCCTATATTTGTATGTCTTAATACATGACGTGGGGATCTTTAAGTTTACATACCAAACTAGTACACTGTGTTTCAGTGCAACTACATGATTTGTGTTTGTTGCTGATAATATAATAAAAAACAACATCTGTTCAAATTCAAATCAGGCCTTTCAGATAGCAGGAGAAACAATAAGTAAATGTTCTCCAACCTTCACAGCTGCCATTCAATTAGACAGGAATTAGAGGGGAAACAGGTTTGTGTGCGAGTGTTTTATATGGGCCTCTTTAAAGCTCCTGACAGATGGAACATGTCCAGCTGTTATGAATCCAACCATGGGCACCCTGACTGCACTCGAAACACACACACAGTAACAGACACACCCGGCTGATGCTTGGCCTTCAAACCACAACAATGCTTCTCTAGGGCTCCCTACCAGTGCGCCTTGCACCTGCTGAGCAGCTTTTCTAGGAACAGGGTCCGAACCAATTCCACGGTCCGTTTGGTACCAAAGAGTCTCCCCCACTGGGAGTCTCTGACCCCGGTGTCGAAGAGACAGGAGCACCTGAGGAGGCCTGGAGGTGTAGGGGTAACAGAGGTTAGCTTAGTGTGGATGTAGGGCAGAGGTAAAGGGGTATTTAAGGGTAACCGTTGATGTAACAGGTGCCTAATTGTTGTGTACAGATGTAGGTCAGGTCCTGCAGTGTTTCAAAGCTGAGAGGGAATACTTCTGGGTATTTTGGAATTATGTTCTATATCTGAGCAGTAGTAAAACGCATGGTGTTGAAGACAACTAATGAATGAAGAAAAACTAATGGAAAACAATAAAAGCCCTATCTACAGCCAGTGTTTGGTTTGTCCAATCTTGGCTGTTGTACTATATGGTGGTTCAACATGGCGGACTCCATGGAAGGTGTCTGTAGATAACAGCTCATTCTAAGGTAACAAAAACACAACAATTCCTATATTCAGCTGATTATACACTAATGAATAACATACCTTTGAATATTATATTCCATTTCTTACAATAGATAATCCTATATGTTACACACTGGACTTTAATAATACTGAATTATGTCAACCACGTTGCCAAGCTCCAGTTGTGAAACTCATAATCTTACAAACATGTACGTAAGAGAAAAGCCATAGTTCTCAATGGAGACCCTGTATAAAGTGCTCATATCCCTTTTCCTCCCCAGCACTGTGGGATGGACTGTTGTCTGGAGAGCCTTTGTCCATCATGGAGCGTTCAGACAATCTGGCACACAGAGCAGTTCATTCAACCAGCTGACTGGCTCTTGAGATGCTCAGATGAATATTCATAAGTTGGCAAAGGGAAAACTGCTTAAGACTGGATCATTTGAGCACAAGGAGCACTCATGTCAACTTGTCTGTGACTTTGAAAATCAGCTCTGCTTCACCATTTGGATTTCCTCTCTCTCACAGACACGCAGACAGCAGTGACGTTTTCTCAGCGTGTTAGGGATTCCAGTTTTGATGATCAGATGGCAACAAAAGCCACTTGAAAAAAAGCTGTGAATGGGCTCGTACAGAGAAAGGGCAGCACCAGAAATCCTCCAAACAAGGCATTTGATTAAACTTTCTGATTTTACTCTCACTACTACCTCATTAACATTACAGGAAGTTAGATCTCTTTTGTTTCAGACTTACTTTCCTCCTTGGCCTGGCACTTCACCTCCAGGTCGACGGTGGACAGGCACAGTTTGTTGGCCTCCTGCGTGGCCAGGTCTTTGGGCGGCTGGTGCTGCTGCTTTATGGAGTTACCAACACTGAGACGGCGCCCCACAGTGGTCACCTGCCTGTAAAACTGCTTCCCTGTGATTTTGTGGTCAAAGCCCAGCCAGCTGAACTTGATCTTCACCCTGAAGGAGGAGGAGAAGGTGAAAGGTGATTGTGAGCACAAAATACAGAGCACTGAAAACTTTTAAATGAAAGGAGTCAAAGGAGGAGGAGGAGGAAGACAAGAAAGAAGGGAAAAAATGTCAGTAGAGAAAGAGAGGAAAAAGACTGTAGGAAACAAAGGATCCAGATGATCCAGAGCACAGCCGGCTGATCATCTGGTTTTATGGTCTTTCCTGTCTTATGGCTCACTCGGCCTCCACTGCATTACACAGGGATTTACAGTACATGAGTGTGTGAGCATGCATGTCTATGCGGCCTTGTACATGGATACGGTGTAATGCAGTGATCTCAGAGCTCAGTTAGAACCCATTCACAGCAGGTATAAGGTTAGCTAATAGAATTACAATGGCTGCTTAACAACGATAGCTGGAGGCTACAGAAATGCTTATACAGTATGCCTTTGTGAACGAGAGTGACTGTGTCCATCTGTCTTACGTGAAGTCCATGTCCTCTGGGCCGGGGAAGGGCTCCAGAGGCCAGTTGACGAAGCAGTTGAAGAAGACGAGGCAGGCGCAGGCGGCCCAAACCATCAGGATGGTGATGAAGGTGGCACCCAGATCATAGATCACCTACAGGCAGCCAGACGGCACCCAAACAGACAAATGATAATGGAGAATCAATATCCCATTCTGTGGTGGCAGTGTTATTCTTTTTAAATTCCTGTTAGAGCATCGCCTTTTAGGGGCAATGTGTATGTGATGGATGAGGACAATTTAATAAATATTTTTAGATAAATCAAGAATTGGGTGATATAACTGACAGCACAAATCAAATGTTACCTTGATGCCGGGGAAAGTGACAGCAGAGGAGGCATAGGATCCAATCATCAGGGCGATGAAGGTCGACCTCAGGTCTCCAAACATGTTGGGGAGCTATGGAGAGAGCAGGAAGAACAGATTAGGTTACTAATGTAAACACAACTAACGTTCAAATAAACACACATAAAGACGAGATTCATTTAAAACACAGCAGGAGATCTCGATCTCGACCCCATTATAACATCTGAATATGATTAACATTTTAGCCTGGGGTTAACAGGAGAAAAATTAATTACACGCTTGCTAACACAATATGCAAAAGCACAGATCCTGAATCTCACTGTAGAAGAAGAGAATAAAGCTTTCTGGAGAGTGAGGCATCAGCACTTCATTAATGGGACAAAGAGGGGTTTTATTTTTAAATCCCCAAAAAGTTACACAGCCACTGCACACTGCACTGTATTATTAAAAAACAAATGTCCTTTTGATTTAAAGCAAGACTATGTATATAGAGGTGTATATATATTGTATGTGTAGTATATATATATATATATATATATATATATGACTATATGTGGACATACCACTTGAAATCAAGTTGAAATCATAAGCAATAAAATGCACCTTTGCTCAATTCTGTACACTGAGGTTACGGCTTCACTTGGTGGCTAATGTTAGCCAGATTTAGACCTTTAGGTTCCTGTGTAACAGACATTAATGAGCATGTTTGCTGAATGTGTAACTCTTCACTCTCTATACAACTGTTATGTGACGTTTGCATTGCACAACAATGGTTGTTGTTCAGTAAAAGTTACACAGTCTGACTTTAAACCTTTTGAACACGTATCAAAGGGACCCAGCTGAAAGCCTGATTGCTATCTGAGAGCAGTCAAGCTTCTGCAAGCCCACATCTTATCTATAATCGGATTCAGTTAATTACAGCAGATCAATTAGTGAATTTCACTCTGTGGAGAGCATACTGGGTTTGTTGACATATTTTCCTTTACTACGATCCACTAAAACCTACAAAAAGATCTCGAAAAGAAAATTGCACCCACTAAGATTCCACCACTGCGTGTTACATTATTGACTACTGACTCCCTTGACAGGCGCAAAGTACAGTCTGTACTGTTTGTTGCTGCATTTGAAGAGGAGCAGAGGCAGAAATGCCTGTCCTGCATAATGACGCTCAGCCCTCAACTTGAGACAAGAGCACAGGCTGTTCTTAACTAGGCAGCTTCAAACTGTAAACAGCCTTCTTCAAGAAGTCAAAAACAGACGGAAAAATAGCAACTGTGTATGAAAGCAACATGTGGCTTAGAGATTTATTGTCTCTGTCAGTGTGATGTTTAATGTATGCCATCTGGAGAATATATAGCTTTAACATAGAGGAGAGGAAATCATATTCCAAGTCGACAGCAGTGCAAGAGTGGGGGGCAGGGAGTTGAAAATGATGGGTCATAAATAGCAAAACGGCACTCCCCTCTTATTGTCCTCATCTGTCTGTCCACCCGTCCATCCGGCCGCTGTGTTCACCACAGGGGTACAGCTTGTTAGGCAGTCGCTTGAACCCTCTCAACCCAGACAGACGTCACCCGCTGCATTAATTGGACCAAAGGTGAGCAACAAACGCTGCTACGCCCTTGCCATGACATCCAAAACAACAAGAGCCCCTGAATTCCTCCAGTCCTGTTTCTCTGTAGCAGCGCTCAACCAGAAGAATCCAGTTATGACACTTTACAGGAGGAGGCTGACTGACTGACAACACCGGGGGTACGATGGGTGACCTTTGGCCCAGTTGGTGTAGAGGAGAGGAGACGCAAATGGCCAGCTCAGCTTGTGCCCAGCTCAGCAGATTTGATGTGGTCATGACGAATCAAGGCCGTGATAGCCATGCAGAGTCAACAGGTTCAGATTTCCACACTTCCTCATCCTCTAGCCTGTGATGACGGGCCATTTTTCATGTCCCGTTTTTTGCAAGAGCTCTATTAATAGTGAAAGTCTTGGAAAGAATTGTGTATGCTGTGGAGCGAGGGACTGCATGAAAATGATTAGGGGGGAGGCTATGAAAAGGTGGAGTGTATTGTTTTTCTTTGGGATGAAGGGACTGAAGTCTGGGTATTTTGTTTCTTTCTCGTCCTGAATGTATAGGCTTCTACTGTGTGAAGACAGAGTGAAACATTAGGTTCAGCCACACTCACCTCCTAACCATTTTCACACAGTCTCTAAGCCACTTGTTAAAATGAACAGTTTCACATTTAGATTCAGTGCAGATACAATAAAGCTGCTGCAGTGTGGATGAGTCAGTCCCTAACCTCATTCACCTCCGTGGTGTCTCCCCCACTAATACACCCAGGCTTATTTATTCACTCTGGGAACAGGTTCATTTGGAAGCAGCACTGTTGCCACTGGCGATGATTTCTGCAAGCGCACAGGCGAGTGGGAGAAAACAACAATATCACATGAGCAAACAGTGAGAGAGCGAGAAAAAGCTCAAACCAGCAGCAAGCCCAAACATGAGTAAAAACCGTGTCTAGTCCTTGTGATGCTTAGCAATAAAGTGATTACGTCACACAGGGAGCTTCTCTGGGTTACTAGGTCTGAGTCACAGTCAGCTGCTGAGACCACTGTTTCCCCAAAACATGTCACAAACCAGTTGGTCTGTTAACCATGAAAGAAGAAGTAGGGATTAATGGGTCCAGCAGCGTGACGTAAAGTGAGTGTGTTGCTGTTGGGTGGAGCTGTCAGGTTTCGATGAGGAGCAGATAACAGTGTTTTTGTAGCTGCAGTCAATAACACATCAGTCAAGCAGACAGGTGAGTTTGTGACTGTTTAACAGCAGCAGACAAAGAGGCCGCTGTGGCTTCAGGTGCTAACAGACACACAGAAAGCAACTTACTGCACAGTAACTGTACACAAACACAAGATAACAGACATGATGAATGTTACTGTCATGAAATATGTCTCAAATGTTCTAAACTAAAGTTTGACCCCATAGGTGATGTTTTGGACCGAGGAAAACCTGCCAGCTATATATTGCCTGTGTTTCTCAGCTGTCAAAGTACGACATGTGATTAGGTAGTTCCTAATTAGAGGCATTCCCAGTGTTTGTTTGTACATTTGACCTTGTTCCCTCACCTACTCTTTCTACCTCATTAAAAACAGGCATTACTAATCTCCTAATTACTTATCCTAGTCTCCTAATCTTAACTGCATTACAAATGTAGCAATCAGTATCTCCAGGGGAAGCAGTGAAGAGACTGAGAGCAGTCGATACTGCTTTAAAATAATAGTGCCCACCATCTACTTTGTTGTTGCTTCTTCCTTGAATAGCTCTTTTGTTAGCACTGTGGTCACAGTGTAACCATGCAGATAGAAGCAGGGTACACACACAGATGGGTTCAGTGTTTGGCTAAAGGTCTATTTTAGCTTCAGAGCAAGTCACCTGGAGATAAAAGATCAGGGTTCGGTGGCAGGGTTCTGTTAGAGGCAGGTGCAGGTGCAGATTTTTCTTTCATCAATAAGTGGATATATGTATTTCAGGGATTTGTTTGAACAGTTTCCAGGTAACTCCAAATTTAATAAATCGCTGTTTGTCATGGCTCAGCATGACATTTGGTTCGTGACTATGGGATAACTTGCGTGTGTGCAGGAAGCCAAACTTGAACTGAAACGAACAAGAGAATTACAAACTGTCAAAATCTCTTTAGCATGGATTTCAAACAAAAGTCTTCTTTGAAAAATAATCCTTTTTAGCTAGAGGCATTTAAAAGAGCTCTTGAACCACTGCCAAATTATCCAGGAACAACATAAGTGCTTTTAAATGTCCCTGGAATTGGCAATAAAAGAACAGTTTTTGAAAGGGGGCTTCACAGAGAGCATTGGAGGAGGTTAAACCCACTGAACTTACTTACCCAACCTGCTTATCAGCAAATGTTAGCAGGCTAACTAAGACGTTGAATATGGTAAACATTACACTTGTTAAACATTATGTTAACATTGACATTGTGAGCACGATAGCATGCAGACAATTAGCATTTAGCTCAAAGCACCACTGGGCCTGAAACTCACAGAGCTGCTATCATGGCTGCAGACTCTTGTCAATACAGTAAAGCATTATGTTTTCTGCAAGTAACCTTATGGGCGCGTTGAAGCCCGTGCAGCTGTGATTCGAGCTTGTTTGGGTGCAAGTGCTGAACGTTATCAGTGCAGACGATGGAGATGAAGGCTGAGTACACCATACACCATTTGACCCACTTAATTGCTTGTTGTTGATATTTCAGCAAAAGCTTCAGGCTAAACTGATACCTTTTCTACCATCTAGGCCTGTGTTGCTCCATTGTACTGAAATGTCTGTAAAATGTATTCAACAGCCAAGATAAGATAAGCCTGGAGGACCTTAAACTTCTCATGTTGCTCTTTTATGTGAATGAACTCAGCTCTAACTTATCCCTAACCAGTTTAGATACGTGCTTAGTTAGAAGTTTCCCCGCCTTACTGCAGACTTTTTCGGCCATCCTGCATTTTTACACTTTGTTTTGTCATTCTGGATAAGTGTGTTTGCTGAGTGTTGAAAACTGAAATGGAAACTGAGGTGACAAAGAGGCCTAGGGAGTGAAACAACATGCTGAGCCTAAAGTCAGGTGGTGGGGGAAAAAAAGAGGAAACTGGACAGAGCTGTTCGAGAGGAAAGAACAGAGAAATGAAAGGAGGAAGAGGGCTTGCTGCAGCAAGTGGAAACTTCAACTGCAGGACCATTGAGAACCAGCTCTGACCGGTCCTGTCCTGACGCACAGGATAAGACTCCATCCATCATAAAGAGCAGCTAAGTGGGCCGTAAGATTAGCAAACACCGGCTGACGAACACCAGACTGCATACCACCATCGACCTGACGTCTTCTTTTTCTCGCTCCCATTAGGAGTCTAATATTTTTTAAGGCTGAGCTTGATATATTTTGGACTGAAACTAGCTGACTTACATTTTTTTTTAAAAGCACACGTGCTTCAAGTGTTTCCACTAGAAATAAGTTCTTGGAGGGGTGGAGATGTCTCTAAGACCCCTCTGTGTCTGGAAGGGATTTACAGTCGCTCCACAGAAAACCCTGTGACCTGGCTACAGCAAACACCTGGAACCGAAATTCACACCACTGCACAAAGCCACATCCACATGTGCCTGATAGCAGCGACTGCCGCTGGCTGGCTGGCTGGCTTGGATCTCAAATATCTGAGCAACTTTTGACCCTTTGGCATTCATTCGTCTTTTTTCTCCCTACATCTCCCCTCCCTTCATTTTATGCAGTCACGTGCAGTAAACAGAGCATGTACTGTACTTCCTCCATCTCACCCAGCCATCTCCAGCACGGTAAAAAAAAATAGTCCACAGACTGATCTCACCGCCTGTTTAGCTCTCATCCCTTCACTGAGTAGTACTGTGTGTGCAATTCATAAATTTCCCACCTAACAAGAAATCACATGTTTCAGTCATTAGTGGAGGAAAATGTGATGAACACTTAGATTTCTCAACTGAAACCCACATCAGTGGCCAGTTTGTTGACTTTCACGCAGGGAATCAGTCAGACCATCAGTGAGTGTTCCCAGATGGTCTGGTGACACAGACATACAATGATTGGGAAGAGAGGAAATAAACATTACTAGGCATCAGACAGAAAGTAGATTAGGGCAGCGAGCAGAGCTTTAGATTTTGAGACCAAACCCAAGAAACAGAGGGGGCTCCAACACGTGCCTTGAACAAAACGAAAAACAAGAGGAGGAGCTTCACGACTGCTTGTGGGTGTGTACGTACATATGTGTATGTAGAATGGGGTCTGTTTGGGAACATTTCCCGAGAGCGGGAAAGCTCCTCTGTAACATGAAGCTGTTTACAAGCACAGAATCAGAGGAATGAAGAGCAGAGAGGGAATTAACCACCCCGCCTGCCGGCCACCCACCCGCCCCCTCTCCTCAGCTTCACTCCCTGTTTTCCGTCTCCAGAACACTGAGTGCTGAGTGTGCATCCACAGGAGGAATGAGGAAGTCAAGCTACGGTAGATAACGAGAAGAAATAACAGAGAACGTGGGGAATGAGCCCACTTTGAGCTCATTGGAGATAGAAAGAAAAGGAGCAGAGACAAAGGTGGTGGAAGGAGAGGATGGGAGAAATCCCTGGCTCTGATCCTAAATGACTAACACGCACTGGGCAAATCGGGTGGGTCACCCTGACCTGAGGGGTTTCAGTAACTCACGTTACAGGTTTCTTTAAATAGTTGTTTTCCTCAGTAATGAACCCAGTGGTTCAGGAAAGGGCAGGGAGAGGGAAGCACAGCAGCGCATCCACACAACAGCACTCACTCTGTCTTGACCTTTCTCTCTCTTACACACACACACACACAACACCAGGGTTTCTGTCTAAATTTAAGACGTTTAAGAACTTGAATGCAATTTAACACCTGTTTTACAATCACACCAGCCACAGTATTATATGTAAGACCGACAAAAAGGCCTAGAATTCCTTAATATTATACAAAATAATTTTGAGTATCTCAGCCTCCAGCGGCCATTTTTTGAGAAAACAATGCTTTTTACAACTTTTCAAGACCTGCACATACCTTGAAACACACACACACACAC